GATAAAGTCATTCGCACAAAACACCCACGACCGCAACGAGAGGGACGGAGCGCACCCAAGCCCGCGGCGCTGTCCTTTACTTCCCTCCGCCCCGACGGATAGGCATTACGCCTCACAGCAGGTTGTGGCGAGTGGCGCCATACACCCACAGTGAGGCACGACGCACATCATCTTCTCCCCTCCAAGTGTACTCAGCAGGCCGGGGCACAGCGTCCAGTCAATCTCCTGCCATCGCAAAGGCAAACACAAACAATCGTCGTCGCGGACCATCGGTGCCTCCAACAGGGAAAAAAAAAAGAAAAAGAAATAGGGGCATGTCAACAGCACAGCCAGCAGAGAGACACTAAAAGGGACACGGAGAAACAGAGCGGCAGTGGACACGGCACAAAAAAAAGCCGCAGACATTTACCAAAAGAAAAGAAAAAAGAAACGGAATAAAAAAATAAAACAAAGTAACAAAAACAAAATTGGACTGTTCCACCAGCCCACACAACATCCCTCACGTTTCGTGCGGCGTCCAGCCTGTTCCTCCAACCCTCCTTTCGTGCATTCCGTGGGACGCGCAGCCGCGGAGCCGGCACTGCGTGTGGGTAACAGAAGCAAACAAGAGGGGGAGACACGTCACTCATGACAGCGTGCAGCAACCAAAGATTAAAGAACAGAATAAATAAATCAAAGAGCCCGCGAGTAACGCGGCACACAATCTCCGTGAGGAGTCGCAATTCCACACTCTGCGGCTCAGAAGAAAGCCACAAGTGCACACAGTCCCAGAAGAAGCAGCAACACCCGAGAGACGCACACACGTGCAGTGCTGTCACCACCTAAATCATGCAGGATCAATTTCGCGTCGTTAATCAGGGCGAGGCGGTCGTCTAGGCTCATACTGCCATCGGATGCTGAGTGATTGGTTTCTGGAACGGAAGTGTCATTTGTAGCGGCAGTGCGTGGACGCAATTCGTCCGTAACATTCTCAGCACTCGATTCACTGCCCGCAAGAACACGGACAGACTGAGAGTCTGCCGGCTGTGCAGTTGGAGACTCTTCAACGTCCGCCAAGGAAGTCGTCAGCTGTGTGGCCGTCTGCAGTGTAGCTGCCGGCTGTGTGTCTTCCTGCGTTGTGGCCTCCCGCGTTGCAGCTGCCAGCTGTGCAACGTCCAGCTGTCTGACCTTCTGCTTTTTCTTCCTCCGTCGCTGTGACTTTCACCTCAGTGTGCAGTTCTTCGGCAGCCAGATGTCGAATAGGAACTGTCCCGGCGTTGAGGTTTGCTGAGGTCATCACCAAACAGCGCGTCGTTGTGCAGAAGGACATCAGCCACCGTCACATGGCTGCCCTCTTCATCTTCCTTATCGCCCGCACCAAAGAAGAAGTGTGAGATTCTGTGTGAAACAAACTTATCAGCATTACGGAGCCTAGCCACTTCCTCGGCACCCAGTTTCTCGTCATCCGTCTCGTATATTCTTCTCCCATTAGCGTACACGAACCATTCTTCAGCGCCATTCTTTTGCACCGTCACTCGAATTGCTGTGTTTGTTCCCCAATTACCAACACCACCAGACGGCTTCACAAAAAACTCCACCTTGTGAAGTGTGAGGTTCCAATTTCCTTCACTCGTCCACGAGAGCTGAAAGAGCGCCGTGCCGTCTTTGTCGTTCAGCCTTGCACCCATCAAACTAATGGGGCTGCTGCCTGCCTCCGGCACCTCGTGGATGGCCACCGTCGCCGAAAGAGTGAACTCGTTGTTTGTAAAGCAGTACGGCACAGTCTGCCCCATGCTGACAACAGGCCACTGCGCCTCTGCTCCCTTGAGCGCCACACCGCTCTCCGTGCTAGTCACTCCGCTCCTCACTGCGGCATTCACGCCGAGGTACTCGTCCTTCCATGCAGTCCCAACCAGTGCGCTGGACAAAAAAGCAACCAGCCCTTCAGTGGTAACTCCCAAGGCGTTGTCCAATTCTTTCCGTATCTCCGCCGCAGACTTTATCCGCTCCAGCTGCTCAGTCAGGCGCATGGCGACAAGACTGTATGGCCCTTCACCATTCCTCGTCGCGTACAGTAAAATCAGCCCTCTCACTTTTCACCAGCAGAGAACTGTCGGCAGCGTCATCTTCACGAGATATCGGCCCAACATCATGCACACGTGCATTGTCCGACACCCAAAGCTGAAGCCGACCTTCTCCACTTCCATTTTCCTTCGCGGCATACACCGGCGTGACCACGAGCATCGCCTCCCTTCCCTCAATGGTTGCGGTGGTAAATCCACTCTTGACGCCGTACCCTGTTCGACCACGTCAGCTGCCCCACACACGATTAATTGACTCAACATATGAATGCCAAGCCGCCCATTCCAAGTGGACCTGTAAACGTTTTTTTTTCTTCTCTTACCAATCGTAGTAACTACACCTCAATTGTGCAGCTCTGGTAAGCGTACGCTGGAATTCAGCAGCAAGGATAACCTTACTCCGCGGGCAGCCATGTAAATGGCTCCAACATCTGCCCTTCCGGCCCGTAAAACTAAGTAACAACTACTCATCGGGTTTGAAGCATGAGCAGCAGGCACTTAGCTTCCTCTCTAGTAAGAGTACTAGACCCTGGCACCACGTTGAGGTGGCCGGCTGAGCCAGGGACCTGTAAACGTCATATTAGCCTCCATCACAATGAGCCATCATGAAGGGTCCGTTTTACTCCCACCCCACAATGGCTGGATCCCTGCAGCCCTTACCAGGCGTCTCGAGTGAAAGCTCCCATTTCTTCTCTGACGGGATAAGACGCATAGACAGCAAAACGCGCCGTCCATCCTTGTCGTTGGCCTGCATGGGAAACATAGGCGTACCGTCATTCATCATAAAACCCGAGCCTCCGCCACCCACAAACTCGGTCAATAAGTAAGAATCTCCTATGGCTTGAGGCTCCACTGCATGCGTCTCATTCCATCTGATTTTCTTCTTTCCACCCTCATCAGTGAGAGTTCCCTTCACGAGTAAAGGGCTCCGCTCATTCTTACCTTGAATCTGCTGCTCTGCACGGCTGTAGTTTCCCAGGAGCATGTAGACACTGTCCTCAATTACAATTGTCGTTGGTCGCGTTATGCCGTTTCTGGTGCTGATGCCCCCAGACCCTTCCTTTAGAAGATATGCGCCAAAGTTACTCGCACCCGCCGTCGAGATATCCGTTGGACCAGCAACACCACCTAAACCAAGGTACTTTGACGCAACCCCAGTAAAGCTGGCGCCGCTGCAGTTGCCTCCATCCCTGCAATCGGCCTCAGAAATAGCAAATACATGACCCTGCACCTCAACGAGGCTGGGACCACGAAGCGAGCCATATTTACCACCAGCGTTAGAAACATCCTCCCACTCGACAAGCTTTCCCCATTTCATCCCTTACAATGCTTCAACTGTATCCCTTACGTTACCCTCAACAGCGGCTGCAGCTCCACCAGTGTTGCAGCACACCACCATCACGACGACGGGCGGCAGCACCGCGGAAGTAAACACACGCCGGGACGTGTTGGGCCTCTGCTGCTCACTCTCTCTTCCTTCCCTCCTCCTTCCACTGGATCCGGTCACGCGGCGATGGTTGTGTGTGCGGGGTGCCTTCACTGCAGCAGCAACACGTGAGAGCATATAAATATGTGTGTGTGGGCAATGTGTGCTGTTGTTGGTCCTTTCAGAGCCTTCGAATTTCACAGTACCAGTTCGCGCTTGGTATTAATTTCCTTCTTGGAGGGGAGCAGCATACAAAAGCGGCAGAAAGACAACACAAAAGCACTACACGCCGTCAGCCCTCACAGAGAACCACCACATCACCTTCCACGGATCATTTATTCCCCAGCGCCTCTCAACAGAATACAAAAAAAAAGAAAAACAAGTGAACAGCCTCCCATTAGGCGACTTCAGGCCATTGTCCTGTAAATGAGGCAACGACAGGGGCCACGTGCACGGTGAGGAACACAAGAGCTGCATTGCAACGACACGGCTGCGTGACGCCCCGTTGAGAGTATCGATACAGAGCAGCAAATCGCCTGCAGGAAGAGTTGCTTCTCCCGCTGAGCAGAGAGAAAAAAAGGCCTCAGCGCCCCAAAAATGTAAGGCCGCCTGCATCTCCTCGCGGCACCTGCAAGCTCTGCAGGCACAAAAATGCACATGACGCTCTGCTGCACGCATGGCGACCGTCGCATCCTTCACAATGGCAACCGCATCCTGTCGCACCACACGTGGTTGTCGACGCGCAAAGTCTCCGTCTCCATTCCTCCCTTCACTCTCCCTGAGAACTCATCGGTGGCCGTGGCACACCCACCGACATGTCAGAAATCACTCGTTTTCCTTTTTCGCACATCGCACAGCAGCACCAGAAAACCCGTTTCATCCCACCCATCCGTGGGCCTACTTCAAGAAACCTTTCCGTTTCTGCCATCCGCCAAATCGGATGCTGCCTTTTTCGGAAAAACATTTATGTTCACTGTAAAGTAAAAATTGCTTGGATTTGGGCCAAATACTCATGATCACAACGTGAGTATCGATCAACATGTGCTTCACACCCAGCCAGTGTGATGAATTACGTCCTTGTGTAATTCAGTTGGGAATAGAGGCCTCACACATCCCACGCAAAAATAGACATGATCCCTAATTATAGAGCGCACAACCTTTTTGAAGAAAGCGTTTCTCCCGGTGCGGCGAGTACTTCATGTGGTCTCATGCGTTCAATACAAAGAAGAAAAAAAAAATGGCATAAGAGAGATTAATTGATACATCCGTAATGAACAAAATAGAACAGTCAAAGAGAGTAAAAATATATCTTTAAATCGCATGCTCCATTTACCTTGCAAGCAGGTGCAAAGCAAAAAAGCGGAGACAACATGATAGATAACGTGCTGGCACAAATTATCCATCACAACAATAACAGCAGGCCGGTATAAATGCGTTTCCTATACGATAAATACGATAGCGATACTCAACAAAAACAACTAAAAAAAAAAAAAAAAGAAATACTAAACAAAAACCTAACGACTAAAGCTAGTAAAATACGGCTCGGGTGAATTCCCGCAGGCACAATTATGTTCCTCATTAATATAAACGCCTGATGAGTTGCATTTCTCTATAGAAGGCAATGGAACCCGTTCACCATTCGGTGTAAACACCCAGTATAGCCCTTTGGAATCAGGTGGCCCAGGAACCCAGTCGTCCTTGAGGGGGTTACGATGTAGAAAATAATCCATCGAATGAACGCCCCGCTCTGACTTCAAACAGGTAGGCATACTGTTTTCCTCTCGTTCAGCGCGGAACGGCAAAATGGTATTTTGTCGTATTATTGTCTCCGATGTCTCACGTTTCCTTCTTTCCCGATTTTGTCGGTAGACCTCCAGGCGGTTCGCTGCGGCAATTGCGCCAGGTGTCATACTAGGCCCCCGTGCACGGCTGCAAGCCAGCTCCTTCATCATACTCATTCGGTGAATGAGGTTCATCGATCCCTCCGTACTTACCGAGACATTCTTTAACGAGTGAAGAGAAAAATCTTCACGCGCCTTGATAAAACCTGCAGGCCCGAGCAACGAAGGTGACCGTCGCAAAGGTGAATTTAGGGAGGTTTTGGAGCGAAATTCCACCAAATTCGTTTCCATTTCAAGGAGTAACCTTTGGTGATTGGCAAGGGCTTGCGATAAAATCTTCTGCTTATGCAGGTACTCTTCAAGTTTCTTCCTATCTCCGACACCATTTAACCCAGTAATTGCTTTCCCTTTTGCAATTTCATTACGCCGGCACATTAGCGTGTACTCTCGTGTCAGTTGTGCCTTGGCCGCAAAAATACCTTTTGTGCGTTCCTCATGCCGTCGTATTTCCCTCACAAGTCGTTTATCTTCCAGCACATTCTGCCAAAGCTGCTGTGCAGCCTCACGAACTGCATTGAATCGCCGTTTCTCTTCTTCACGGGCTAAAAAGAGTGCCTCCTCCTCCAAGAGCATCCGTTCCTCCTCTTCGAGTGCCAGGCGTTCCTTTTCCCTTCGTAAAGCATCCTGCTCATTCTGAGAAAGAGACTCAAGTAGTTCCATGATGGAATAATTGTATGAACGCTCAAAATTTATTCGAGCATCCCTCTCCTTTTTTTGCAAAAGCAAAATCATGCGGCGATCAGTGATGGACTTTCGTGCTAACCACAGCTTCTCCACATGTAACCACTCATTATCCCAGGACTTGCACCAGTCGGAAAAGGCATCTTTCTCCTCCTTCGCGAGAGATACTCGGGCCAACAATTCCGATAAAATAAGGTCGTAAAGGGTACAAAACATGTTAAACGTTGTGCTCTCTTCTTGTGTCGTTATGCGACGGTGCGTATCTTCTGCAGCCAAAAAATCCAATTGCTGTTTATTCGCAACCTGCATAAGCCACGCCGCCAGATGTCTTTTTATTTGCATGTATCCATGCTCAAAACTCGATCGCCGCTCCATCGATTCCTCCACTTCCACGTCATCGCGTGCATTCTCCTCCAGCGTGAGTAACCTCGTGCCCTCATAGAGATATTGACGAGAAATCAGTTCAGCCTCCTCAATGTCACAACGGGTTTGACTCTCCACCTCGGCAAACGTGTGTTGTTCCACCACATACTGCTCTTCCCGTCGTTTTAATAAAAGTTGGATGATGCCATCCTTTTCCTCCTTTGCATTGCCGAATAAACTCCGGTGCTCCGCACGCTCGTTTTCCCCCAATGCGATACGAGCTTCCATCTCGTCCTTTTGAACAAGAAGAATCACCCGAAACGCGTTTAAAAGATACTGCTCCTTCTCACGTAATTCAAGCAGCCTCATCTGCAACTGCGAACGATGCGAGAACACAGCCGCAGTAATGATCTGATGTTGGCGACGAAGATAGTGTACATGAAGCGTTCTGCAGGAAAAAATGCATCGAGCAGCGGCTTGGATCATGAGCATACAACCGTTCTGAGCCGCACGCACAATAGAAGCGAGATACTGTGAAATCTCCAACTTCAGAAAGACTTTGGTCCTTCCCACTTGTGCCTGAGCATTGGAGTTCACACCGGCACGTCTTAGAATCTCCCGGATCTTCTCTTCCTCTGTGTCATGGGGATGAAACGGTACCTGAAACTCCGTCAGTTTCATATTGAGATTCTGACAATATTTGGATGCCATGGGATGCAATTTCGTCATCAAAACCTTGTGCGCCCGCAGAAACTCTGCAAAAGGGAGGCGAACCGAGAACGAGTTTTGGCGAATTTTAATCGTTTCAAGAACTCCAGCGGAACGCATCTGCGTCATGACTTCATTGCCATTAAACATACGAGGTTTTTTAGTACTGTGTGGTTTGATGCATCGTATCCAATGGGGGTGGGTGCCGTTAATTTCTGTCATGAGCTGGACCAGTTGATTTTTAAAAAACGATCCAACAGTGGATTTCACAGCCAATCCGGAGTCCGAAGTTTTACTGGAAAGAAGCGATGCCACAAATGAAATTGTACTGGACCGTATGGCACATTTAAGGACCTCCTTCGTTGCATCACAGTTTTTGACACGAAACCCCTCCACGTTGTACGTGACATCACCCGCGTAGTGCCGAATAACAAATGAACTTCGATCGGTCTTGAGACGTAAAAAGTTTGGATGCCCCCCTTTACCGTCCAGCAGTCGTCCTCCGTACAAATCGCAGACCTTTTCGCGAAATGTCAAGTCACTTCCCTTCGCCAAGGACGACTCCTCATCGAGAAGATGCAAAATAGACATTTTGTTTGTTGTCTTCGATGAACCACCCGGACCACAGCCGGAGAAGTCAACGCCACAAATAAGATCAAGACAGGGCTGATTATCGTAAAAGAGAACACCCTCCGTGTTAATTCCCTCTTTATGGCACTCTTCTATATCTCGTGTAAATATGATGCTGTTGTAATGATTCTGCAGCGTTTCATTTGCCAAATTAATGCACAACTGCTCAAATGAATTCCCGCTAGAAAAGTTTTCAAAGC